CCCCCCCCCCCCCTTTGATTTGGCAGAAAGGAGTAAAATTCTCAATTTGGATACCTGTTTTTGCAAGTAAGGTCCCTTAGTTTTGCTTGTGTACGAGCTCACGGGCAAGTTGCTTTGAGTGCAATACAAATTAAAAGGGTATGTTCCTAAATTTTGATCTTTATGCATTCTTACTGTATTCCCTACAGAGAAAGATTGTCCAAGAACTACTTGAGAGAGGTTGTTTTGCCTGATCTGGTTTTCTTTCATGGTCTTTGCACACAAAGACACATAAGTTGGACTAGCTTTTTATTTTTTTTAACACACAAACTAATAAGAATTTCCCATTGACTTTGAATAAGCTGCTATTGAAATAGCTATTAAAAAAAAAAAGTTAATTAGGATGCAGTTTGTCACCTGAGATTTTTAGGAGGGAAGTCAGACTTACCACTAGCTGTGTGTGATTACCCATTGGCCAGATCCTTCTAGCTTTTTCCCATGAGAAGAAATTGCCCGTAGAAGAATGGTGGGGGGTTTTATAAATAGAAAGCTTAGCTGACTTCTGTACAGATGAGGTTTGTTTTCATAATTTAGTGACAGCTTAGTGCATAATTGCTGCTGATCAATTACTCTCAGGACCTATTAATGAAACACAGTACCTCAGCAAACCCTTGCTTTTAATTTTCAACTTGTTTTCCTTGTTTCTATCTATAGATTCACTTTAATTTGAAGAATCCTTGGTCTGCCTTGCTAGTAAGAACTAAAGGAGAGCCAAAATGAGCTTTCCCTTATGGGAGCTTTGCTTTAAAAGAATGTCTTCCTTTTAAGTACAGAATTCAGGTATCATTGATAGTGTCAATAAATAATTTAAATAATAATAAATTCTTCTCCAGACATGAAATTAAAGTTTTTCAGAATTTGATATGTTTTAGTTATTCCCTGAAAAGAGGTTACCGAGAATCAAACTCTGAAATGCAGTGACAACTGATCTTCTTTGAACACATGTAAAATCCTGATGCGTGCTGGTTTCTTTAATCTCTTACTGTGGCCCAGTCCATGCTTTTTGTGTATGTCTTCCATTTCAGAGTAAGGTTTAGACAGAGCAGAGAACTCCTCGTGCTTTGTTGCTGCCTTGCTGAGGGCTCAGAGTTGGTGTTTATGGTTTTGTTTGTCTTCCTGCACACCCAGTGTGGCTGAAACGCCTGGAACCTTGTATTCGGATAACTATTGTTTCCACTGACTTTTTCTCCCTCCCCTCAATTTATAAAGCACCCTGTCAAAGTCCAGAGATTGATTTGTAGTGCACACCCACCCTCTCTGCCACATTTGTATGAGACTCCAAAAGAGTATTATTGTGCTGAATGGCCTCATGCTGGTTCTCTCAGAACAGTTATTCTTTTGTCAGGAGGCTGGCTACAGAGACCTTGGCAAAACTACTAAAATGTTTGTTTACAAGAAACCATCAAACAAACCTTGAATAGCTTCTACTCTCCCCTTGTCCTGCTCCTCTCCCCCACCTCCTCAGTCTTTCTCCAAGCTTTGGAGTTCTACACTCACATCTACATAGAGCAATTCTAACAGATATATATATATATTTAATATATTTTTTTATTTATTTTTTTAAATGAAGGTGTCAGTATGGATGGCAAGGCCAGTACTGTGATAAGTGCATTCCACACCCAGGATGTGTCCATGGCACTTGCATTGAACCATGGCAATGCCTCTGTGAAACCAACTGGGGTGGTCAGCTCTGTGACAAAGGTATGTTAATCTTATGGATAGCCAAGTGTAACACTTGAATTTTAACACTGGCAGACATAGCAAGGAGAGAACACACGAGACTGAGCCAGCCAGCCTCCTGAAACATGGTGGGAGATTTTGTCCTTCAGCTACTCAGCATTGTCTCCTCTGGTGTTCTGGCATTGTTAGCACACGTGCTTAACTCTTCCCTGTCCTACTCTCGCGTGTGGATGTATTCAGTAAAGGCTCTAGAATAATGGAACTAAGCGTGCAAGTGATGATGTTTGTTCTTTTTCTACCATGCCTTTAATGTCTTTCACCTCTTGCAGATCTGAACTACTGTGGAACCCACCCACCTTGTTTGAACGGTGGTACCTGCAGCAACACTGGCCCTGATAAATATCAATGTTCCTGCCCTGAGGGCTACTCAGGACAGAACTGTGAAATTGGTAAGTGCTTGATGCAGCTGCTGAGCTGCCACTTGGTGGTTAATTCTTACCAGCTTTTAGTGGCTGGTTTTGGATCTATTTTATGAGGTTGGGGAAAAATCAATTTCTAATATTAATTAGGATGTTAGGGCTGGCTACAAAGATCCAGACTTGCTTGTTTGTGCTTCATCATTGTCCTAGTTTTGCTAGGATAGAGTTAATTTTCTTTTTAGTACTTAGAATGGCTGTGTTTTAGTATCAGTGTAAGACCTGTTATGAGAAGAACATTGATAAAAGTACCACCCAAACCACCACAATCATGAACAGTTGGTATCTCTGAACATCAGCCTTCTGCTCACCAGAGAGATCATCACAAGTTACCTTGTCTGGCTCTGACTCAAACAGGGCAAGTCAGTGTGTCGATGAGTTTAGCAGGGAAGATGACTTCCTGCTGGCTAGTAGCTTTTTGATTCACAGTTCTCACAGGAATGTAATACATCAAGGGTAATCATGGTGTGTCCAGAGTAGAAGCATGTGGAGGGAGCAGGGGCTGGCTTCTGATATTACTATAGTCTCTACCATGATGTACTTCTGTCCCGGTGCAGCGGAGCACGCCTGCCTCTCTGATCCTTGTCACAATGGAGGAACCTGCTTAGAGACGTCTACAGGATTTGAATGTGTGTGTGCGCCTGGCTGGGCTGGACCAACTTGCACTGACAGTAAGTCCTTTCAAAATTGAATTAAAAATGTGCTAGTTTGTTGGTTTAGATCAGTCTTTCTTATCCCCAGTAAACTTACAAGGCAGCCTACTTCACCGTTCCCAGCTTCAGCATCTGTTCTTGGCAGCCATTTGTGCCACGGTTGTGCCTTCTCCTTTGCTTGTGCCAAGGCTTTTTCTTAAATGCAGAGGGACAGAATAGCCAACAGCTTCTTCAAAGAAGCAGAACACTGAATTTTGTAGCATTCTAGCAAGTACTTAAAATACTTTCGGGTTTTGAGGGATTTGCTAGATCAAAAATCGGACCTCGACTTGCAAAAAGGCCACAGGTGTAAACTTCCTCCCCTGTGCTTTGAACCCCCTTTCACGCTGCTATTATTTTTAGAGGGGCTTTTGCTGAAATCAGAGTAGACCTAGAAATTCCAAGCAGAAGTCCTGTCTTTCTATTCCTTCAGGCAAATCCTAGTAGCAGCAACCACTTATCAAATTTGTCAGTTACTGACATTGCCTGCTTGGTAACAGAGCTAAGCCTCTCCTTGTTCTGCCTTACAGATATTGATGATTGTTCTCCAAATCCCTGTGGTCATGGAGGAACTTGCCAAGATCTAGTTGATGGATTTAAGTGTATTTGCCCACCTCAGTGGACTGGCAAAACTTGCCAGCTAGGTGAGAATTCTTTTTCTCTTCATCCAGTGTTGCTCTTGGTGGGGAAGATAATTGCAAGAGGGATCATAGTCCAGCAGTGGAGGGTAATCGCGCCCTTTGCGTTCGGCATGTTTATGGTTCCAAAGCCTATTCTGGCACACTGAGAATATTCAGTGTCGGTGTTTGCAGGACTTGGGTCTCAAAGCATATAGTGGCTTCCTTCTGTCAGTGTTCTGCTGATGCTTGCTAGCAGTTGAAGGAAATGGTTAATGAAGCCAAAGAGACATACTTTAAACCTAAATGAACTGAAGTGGGGAGGGTGCATGTGTATGCCTTCCAGTCCTGCCCCCACATGGATTTCTTCCTTTAGCCTGTGAGAAAGTTGCTGTATTTCTTCAGCCATGTCAACTCCTCCAGACCAAGGAGTTCACAGCTGGATTCCAAAATGTGGATGATCTCATGAAGAATGAGCTGTCTGCATTCTTTACACACACACTAATCCAAATGACCAGGCTGCAGCACTCCTCCTTCAAAATGCTTGGTTGAGATGGGGAGGGGGGGAAGTTACTCTTAATGAGTGGCTGGGTAATTGTCAAATAATTAGCGTAGCCTGTGTGTTCTAATTGCAGAGAAATTGAAAGAGACTTAAGAGACTCACGTATGATTGACTTTTGTTCATTCAAGTCACGCTAATCCATGCTGTATATTACCAGTTCCTCTTAGATCTGAACAAACTGCTGATTATTACTGGGGGGGGGAATAAAGCTGTAGGTTGTTTTTCCCCCCCCTCCCCTTTCCCACCCTACAAGCCCTGCATTTGGCCACTCACATTGTTTTTTCAGATGCGAATGAATGTGAGGGCAAACCCTGTGTCAATGCCAATTCCTGCAGGAACCTGATTGGCAGCTACTATTGTGACTGCATTACTGGCTGGGGGGGGGCCCAC